GCCCAGACAGTCGGATCTGGGCCGACTGTGGCCCAAGTGACAACCGGCTTAGATTCGTGAGGGAGAACCTTCCTTTTGATTATGATATTTTTGACTTTTTCCAAGTAAAGTTATATTTTCACCTTTTATTTATTTATTTTTATTTTATTTTTTTGTTAAAGGTCATTTTGAAATTTGACGAACAGGTCATTTCATTCTGTAAATCTAACGCTCAACTAACAATTTTCCCTTGAAAAGAAGAAGAAAAAAAGAGACACCCAACTCCCCTTCCAAAACCCTGTTATCAAAATTCTATCTCTCTGTAAATCATCCGCTTTTATGTACCCATCTTTTCCTCTTGTCGATTCCATTTGTTTTTAGCCTTTGATTTCCTCATTAATATATTCAATTTGTTTTATTTTTCTGAGTTCTCGGAACAAAATTCCCTTCTTCACCATCGTTTCTCATTACTGTCCCGAATTCATCCATAGGGTTTTATCTGTGAATTTTTAACCGAGGACCGCAGGTGCGTACATCGAAACATACTGTAAATGCGAATATCTGATTAGTTATTTGACTATTCTATTGTGTTTATCTGTGAATTTGATTTTTGGTTACAAAATTCGAAGACGAAAAACATGGAAAATGGAGAAGGCAATTTAGAAAGTAAATTTGCGGGCATGGTGGTGAGCGATACCAACGACGTCAACGGCAATGACGGATTGTTTCAGGTCATGACAGCAGTAGAAGCTGCCGAGGCCACTATCAAGCAGCAGGTATTTTTAGTTCTATCCCTCTCTCCTTTTCTCTCCTGTATTTTAGCTGTATGTACTTTATGTTAGGGCAGGGTATTTTCTGTACTATGAATATAAACATCTTTTGAATAGTATATTTGTATTTATACATGGATCGAGCAATCTCTCGATGCCGTTCCAATATGTACTTGTAGAACAACATTGCAACAAGGGTCTGCTCTTGGAAACCACTGGGAACAAAAGGGATGAGAGTGTTATCCCAACCTCGTGTCTAAAATCGTGCCTAGCACACACCCGATGAAGTAAAATAGTAGGCAGACATTCACTGAATTGTATAATCTTTTTTTATCTGTAATGACATTTACTACTGGACTAGGAAAACTGTACAAAAACGTTATCAACCAAAAAATATCTCTTCTAATTTGGCATTGGTCCAATATGGTTATGCCTAACAAGTATAGACATGTAAAAGAGAACGCACAATCCTATATTAGACAAATATCAAAGATGCCACTGATCTTCATCCATCCTATGCCACAGTATCACTCCCACATGTATGAAAAAAATACGTCCCCCAGAAAAAGCTTCATTTCATAAAAATTAAGTTTCCTATACTACCCCACAACGAATTAGTTATATTGAGATTCAGATGATTATATATTTTATTTGTTTTTTCGATGAAGGGAGCTTTGATAATTACATGATAGACAAGGAGGGAGAAACATTTAATGCACATTTCCTTAAGATGTTGTTGGAGTTCTGAAATTGAGCCCTTTTACTAGGATGGACTGAGTAATTAAATTTGTTAAACAAGCACTTAATAGGCATTTGTTTGACTTTGAGAAATAGCAGGCGCTTAATAAACACACAACAGACCACTTAAATGAAAATAATCACTGAGCGAAGCTAGTATCACGACAGTAATCCTACATTAAAGAGAGGCCAACCTTTGTATCTTTGGCAATTTGATCCTCTAAGCCCATTTAAGAAATTGCTAAAATGAAGAAAGAGAAAAATGCAACGTACTACAATGCTCATATAAATTAATTGTGTGCCTGAATATCACAAGCAATATTACTAACTGTGCCTTTAGCAAATAGTACTAATGAATGGAGAAAAGGGAAACATTAAAATGATTAGTCATTCAATATAATGTTCTTATGACGAGTGCATTCTAAAATGATAGTCCAAGCTTGAATTTGGAATCTTTGGATTTTTTATCACAGAAATCCCATTTTTTTTGTTTTGCTGGTACTTAGTCATACTCATTATCAGCCCCTTAGGCAAAAAGTGAAAATGATCCATTGCTTAGATTTTCTCCAATCTAAAAAGCCTTCATTTGGTTACTGATTCTTACAGCACTGAATTCCATTGTTTTGTTATAGATACCGAGGCCAGTCAATGTTCTTTCTCATGATGTTTGTGTCTCATGTCAGGAATAACGAGATACGTATCATTGAATTTTTCTCTGTGATATGGCAAAAGAACTTCAGAGTAGATTTATCTTGTGTTTTCTATGAGGCTATTGTTTTCCTGAGCTATGAATAAGATGTTTCGTCTCAGGACCTGTGGTTTTAGTGATGAGGTTGATAGTAAAGTATTCTGGGGGCTTGCATTAATGGTTATTTCTTGGGGACAAGATAGAATCAATAGAGTTTTGAATACAGTGTCTCCCAGTTCCTCTACTTTAGGACAAAGCAGTGTTCTTGGCTTCCCAATGGTGCAGCACTTTTGATGCTTCCTTTAATATAGCTATCTTATTTACAACGTTGTTGGTGGCGTTTCCTAGATGTTAATATTGTCCATTGATTCATTTTATTTTGATCTTTGTCAGATAGGATATTTTTCCTTCCCTCTCGATGGGCTAAACCTTGGGATTTTCCGGCAATTATTGATATTTGTTGTTCGAGAGAACTTTTTGCTCGATTTTCTTTTATTTCCCACTTTGTTGACTGCTCGTCTTCTTTGTAACTCTCTCGATGTTGAAGTGATTTCCTTCTCTTCTTTTTTGTTTATAGTCCTTCAAGATGAGCTGCCTTTATACTTTGTATCCTCATCTATGTTTTTTCTATGTTTCTTTCAAACTAGGCCATATTTAATGTTTAGCTTCAAGTGTATAAATACGTTTAGTTTGTATCTCGCACTCTTCTATGTTTTCTTATTACTTTTGTCGATTGGAATTTGAGAGCATGTTTGGCTAAGCTTAAAATCCAATTAAAATTTAAAATATAATTGTTATTAGGTCTCACTCATCTGATAAAAGTCAACAATAACGGTTAGTTTTTCAATTTTAATCTCTACCGAACACGCCCTGAATTTCTAATGTAAGAGTTTCTCTTGCCAGAGATCAAAATATGCTGCTTCTAGATTTTGTTTTTGTTTTTCATGAAAGAACCTTTACCTTCCTCCAAAAGGACCCTGGCAAGCAATGTGGTGGAGTGCCTTGACTATTGTCGCTTAGTCAGCTAACATTCACCATCCTGCTGTATTATAGACCCTTAAGAGTGGCGCGTCACCCACGTCACTCTTCATGGCTCACGAGCCACTTATTTTACAAAGATATGTAGAAAACTTCCCACTTTTTATCCCCTTCTAACTATACTCTATTTACCCTTGCTCCCA